CCAGAGTTCAGGCCCCACAACCGGACCCCCCCCCAAAAAAAGAAAAAAGAAAAATAAGTCAAAAGGCAAGCTAATGTCTTCATCTTATACTTCTTAGCCTCCACAACTATGTGAAATAAATTTGTTGCATTTTTAATAGGCAGAAAAATAAAAGGTCTGAGATTATAAGTAGTATTATTCCTTCAACATATAATATGAACTAATTTAACTTGAAGAAAAAAAACATGTTACATAGAACATATATAAAAATAAACATCAGTTCAAAAATGAAACAAGTACAGAGGGTGGAGTAGAAAACTAGTCAGTAGCAGGGCTGGGAAGGTGGCTCAGTGGTAGAGCGCTTGCCTTGTATGCATGAGGCCCTGGGTTCGATTCCTCAGCACCACATAAGCAAAAAGAAAAAAGCCGGAAGTCACGCTGTGGCTCAAGTGGTAGAGAGCTAGCCTTGACCTGAAGAGCTGAGGGACAGCGCCCAGGCCCAGAGTTCAGGCCCCACAACCGGACCCAAAAAAAAAAGAAAAGAAAACTAGGTCAGTAGCATCATCTTTATCACTATTTCAAAACACAAGGTAATGAGATCTCAGGTCAATTCTTTCTCTTTTTTTTTTTTGTTGTCAGTCATGGGGCTTGAACTCTGGCCTTTGAGCTAGCACTCTATCACTTGAGCCACAGCGCCACTTCCAGTTTTGGGGTTTTTGGTTTTTTTTTTTCTGAGTGGTTTATTGGAGATAAGAGTTTCACGGACTTTCCTGCCTGGGCTGGTTTTGAACCACGATCCTCAGATCTCAGCCTCCTGAGTAGCTAGGATTACAGGTGTAAGCCACCCATGCTGGCTCAATTCTTTCTTGAAAGGTAAATTCCCAGTATCTGATCTGATGTTTTGTCATTGGTAAGATTACAAAGCTGCCCTGATTGAAGTGTGTATTTTTTTCACAATTACCAACATGTAGGTATGATCATACACCTAAATTTATCAGAAGGTGTATTCACAGTAATGTCATGTTGGACAATGAATTAGAAGCCTCATGTTGAAATGGCTTAGCAATATAACTTGCTCTGCCTACTTTTATGTGAGAGAGAAGTAAAGTCTCATAACCACGTTTCAATCAAGGCTTCCTGGAATAAGTCAGTAAAGTAAAATCTTGATGCTTCACAATAGACTTTAAGTTGCTTCTTTTTGTTCAAAAAGATTTCTTCATCTTACACTCTATGCCTAGACTCACATGGAAGTGGTTACAAGAATAATCTCCAATCTAGAAAAGCAGTTATATTATAGTTTTGTTGAATGAAGGAACAAAATAACATTTGATTATAGTGTAATAATAAATATTCAATTCCACAACCTTGACTAAATCTCAAATACTCACTCTCTCTTTAAAGCTATCATGTAGTTGATCTTCAGCGAAAATGTGGAACTGTAGAGGTTTGATACTGAAAATTATAGCTGACTTCAACATGGTCATAGTTTCTTCCAGTCTTTCTCCGCAGGCCACAACGGCAAGGTGCATCTTCTCCACAGGCTGTGTTTTCATGCTATACCTAACAGGAAAGAAAGACACATTTTCCAGCTGTTTCAGCATGTCTACAAATACATCGTTATTTTTACTACATGCAAAAATACAAGTTCAAAACGTCTATTGAAAAGGCCAAGAAACATCAAACAAAGCAATAAATGAGGAATCAATTATTCTTACACACACAAACACATATGTGGTGTGTGTGTGGTATGCTGGTTGGTGTGGGAACTTGAACATAAAAGTCTCACATTTTTTCTGCTCAAAGCTGGTCTCTACCACTTGAGCCACATCCCCACTTCCATCTTTCTGTTGCTTAACTGGAGAGAATCATCTCTCAGCTTTGTCACTCTGCATTTCTTGGATCTCAGCCTCCTGATAAATGGGATTATAGATTCGAGCCACCAGCACCAGGCTCAATCAAATCTATGTTTTCCATCAATCTTGTTCCTATCCTAGAACTCCAGAATATAAACTACTTTCACAATTTGCCTAAGGATATATAAACAGCTGCATTGTAGCCACAGAGAAGTTAACTCATTGTCCATACTAGATGCCTTAAGCCCACCCACGGATTACTATGAAGGAAGGCAGTCACGATTCTGTCCACAATACTGCAGTATTATACCCAGTCTTAAACTATGCTGACAAGAAATTTCTTCATGTAACTTTGTTCAATGGCAAACATTCAGTTCCACATACCAAGTGAATGGCAGGATGTAAGCATCTCTAAAGGATCTGGAACACTATAAGAACACTTAATATGTTTGGAGGGCAGGACTTCCTAGTGCCAGCTCCTAGCCTATGCTAAATTAGAACCCACAACTAACAGCAGCAGTGTAAAACACCAGACTTAAGGGGCAGTCACAACTCTATACAACTGCTGTGCCACCTCCTTCACTCCTCTGAGACGCAGCAGCTCAGGTCTGCCTTTCATTGGCAGAAGCAGGAACTCCTCCCTGTTTATTCCCTCCTCTGCCCTTCACTTCTGTGAAGGGAACCTTATCAGAGGAGGGCATTACCTATGCTTTTATATCTAGGACAAGGAGACATTAACTTGGTTCATCTATGATCAGAGAGAATCACAAAAACACAAGTTAAAAATAAGGAAATTTGGGGCTGGGGAAGGTGGTTCAGTGGTAGAGTGCTTGCCTTGCACTTGCATGAGGCCCTGGGTTCGATTCCTCAGTACCATATAAGCAGAAAAAGCCAGAAGTGGTGCTATGGCTCAAGTAATAGAGTGCTAGGCTTGAGCTGGAGAACTGAGGGACAGCACCCAGGCCCAGAATTCAGGCCCCACGATCAGAAAAAAAAAAAAAAGGAAATATAGGCACACCGCTCTACAAAACTCTTGGCAATTCCTCTTCTAGTAAATGTCTCCAGATCCCACTTCTCATATAAAGACTATCATTAAAATATCTAGCACTCTGGAAGGTGGGGCAGGAAAGAATGATACTTATGGGGGGGGGCCTAAGCTACTACATACATAGCAAGACCCTATCTCTACTAAAATGGTTTAAAACTCATGATTTGAGAATTTCTCATAGGCTGTGCTGCTTTTTTGGCCCATTACTAGACTGTACCACAATAGCAAGAGGCAAAACAATACTTTAAAGTAAGCCAAGCGGTTACATAGTTCTGCTCAAAATTCTAGACACATAAAGAATAATAAATGTTAAGGAAAAAAGCAAAATATTCCTCAAGGGAAGGAAAAATCCTCTAAAATCAGTCCCAGGCCCAGATTTCTCTAAGGCCCCTCAGTGAGGACTGTTTAGCCACACTGCTTGCATTCTGCAGTGATGAAGCACTGTGCTGCCCACTGCACTATGCTGGCTTCTCTGCAGTGTCTCTGCAGCAGAGCAGCATATATGGTACACACTCCAACATACCTCAACTGACAGAACAAAATACACTCTGAAAACACCTCTGCCCACCAACCTGTCCCTACACACCAGGAACAGAAAAATCAGTTGGAACCAAAAAGAAATCTAAAGTCTACTGTAGGACATGACCATGAAAACTTTCTGAGCAATATGTGCAGTCAACCCAGGAATTCTATAGCATCTGTATGCCAGGCTCCTATCAGGGTGTGTAAAAATGTGTTTAGTTACAGTGTGTATTAAAGTTCCTGGAGATTTAAATGCATGGTAGCAAAAAGGACATTTTCATGCCAGGACTATTTTCCACATGAAGAGGAGACATTCTCAGTTCAAACACCAGACAGCTCCCATGGTTAGATGTGCATGACCTAACTAGCTGCCTGACAGCTGCAATCTCTGCATGGAGTGAGTGTAGCTGGCCTGCCAGGTCCTGGAGCAGTAGTACAGGAATGGGTGGTTCTGTGGAGTTGCAGACTTTTGTGGACTTTTTTGCATGAAGAGGCTGTCACACTGCTGGTCACACTGAGAGGGTCTTTGGGCCACCAGGTGGCGCTTTTTGACAAAGGCTTGTAATTCCTTGGGCAAGGGGGAGGGCTTGCCCACCCACCCTACAGTGATTCCAGGAAGCCCTCAGAAGCTATGCCAAAACTGTATGCCAGGTAAACCTCACTTCAGAGTTCAAGTGGTGCTGGCCACTTGTACACATGGGTGTGGTTTAAGTCTCCTACAGTGACACTGTTGTTTGAAGGCTTCCAGAACCCAGATCACAGCACCTCCAGAGGGCTCTAAACCAAGTCAATGTCCATGGCTTTCCTTAATTGAGCACTGAGAGCATACATAGCTTATTTCTTACTTCCTAGGCTTTTTTTTTTAATGCCAGTAGTGGGGCTCGAACTTGGGGCCTAAAGCTCGCTCTGCTTTCACATGGCTGGTACTCTACAACTTGAGTCATGCCTCAAGACTTTCAGATGTCTGCTCAAGCTGACTTTGAACCAATACTCCTATCTCAGCTTTCCACGTAGCTAGGATTATAGGCATAAGCTACTGGAGCCCAGCACATATAGCTTTTTATATATTTGTTTCCCTTTTTTATCTTTCTGTTATGCAAACTCTTAATATTAGTATCAAAAACACTGTGCTTTACTGGAAGTTCCGCTTATCAAAATCACATAAAAAAAATTCAAGGGGCTGGGAAGGCGCTTGCCTTGCATGCATGAGGCCCTGGGTTCGATTCTTCAGCACCACATGAGCAAAAAGAAAAAAGCCGTAAGTGGCGCTGTGGCTCTAATGGTAGAGCGCTAGCCTTGCGCTGAAGAGCTGAGGGACAGCGCCCAGGCCCAGAGTTCAGGCCCCACGACCGGACCCAAAAAAAAAAAAAAATTCAAGCTGAGAAAGCTGAACCAGGGCTTAGAAGAAAGCTGCCCACTCATGGTACCTGGTGGCAGGCAAGAATGTGACACCAAAGGCCACAGTAGAAAGCAGCTTTACCAGGGTATGCAGATAAGCTCCTGAAAGTCCAGCAAAACTGACATAGTACTTAAAGTGAATACAGAGTACATAGCAAACACAGTGACTAAAAGTAAATGGATCACAAGAACAACAGTTTTAAAAAATCATTTCTGAGAAAGGAATTTCAAGGCTACTTGCCCTCTCCTCTGCCACTAGCTCAGGAGAGTCTAAGAGCCACTGCCAATTCCATTCCGGTCAACCCTGTTTCTTTCACAGATTAGAGAAGGGAGGGAAGAGAGGTCAGTCCCTCCAATACCTTCTTTCTTCAGCAGTGAACAAAGCCAAACTATTCAGTAACTTCAAAGGTCAATAAACAACGTCTATCTTTGGCTCCTTGGAGCCAAACTATTTACCTTACTTTCCCTCTCCCATTCCTCATCAAGCAATCACTCAGCTAATTTCTTATACAACTCTTGAGTTGTATTTTTAAACTACAGCAGCTTTGAACTGGAAAACAGATGTGTGTAAGTGTAAACGTCCACTTGAAATCTGTCTTTATCACATGCATATTATGTTACTAACGCATATTATATTACTAACTGCTACCAAAAGTTGGATTATAAATTCTCGTAAGACTAATGGTTTACAACTAAAAAACAACTAAAAGCAAAAAATTAGAGCATTCACACATTGTGTTAAAAATTGGTGGTAACAATTACAAAAATAGGAAAAAGGAGAAGACCTAGTCAAAAACTGAAATTATTTACCTGTAGGGTAACACTAAATTTCAGGAAAAGAAGCACTATTACAGTAAAAAGCTTTACCTACTAGCTAATCTTACCTACACTCATCTACCAATTAAATATTAAGTGCCTACCTAAAAGCCGCTTCCCAAAAGCAGTTCATTCCACAAACATCAGAGGGCAGCATCCAATAGGGATTCCAGTAACACAGACAGAAATCTTTACACCTAACAGTAAGACAGAAATAACAGTCCTGTATGAACATTTTGGTTGGCAACTAACAAGAAGTTTACTGAGCAACACAGTAACTTATTGTTGTTTTAAAGCAACAAAATGACAAGTCCAAGTTTCTAAGTTTTAGAAAACGGATTTCTCCCCTTACTTAGGGCACTACTGTTTCAAATAAAAACTTTAAAAACATTTAGGTTAAACTACACTACAGACTGGAAAACAGTTTTCTAGTTAGGAGTTCTCTTGGCATATTAAAATCCACTTCTTGGGGGGGGAGGATGGGAGGGGATGGGAGGGGATGGGAAGGGAAAACAAAGGAGGAGGCTACAATGCTTGATAAGAAATGTACTCATTATCTTGCCCATAATTGTAACACTTCTGTACAGTATTTTCACAATAAAAAAAGAAAAAGAATAAAATAAAATCCACTCCTCTAACAGTATAAAATATGTCTAATTGTTTTTGTGAACTCCAAGGTATTATCCTAGAGCAAAATTCATTTCATCCAAAAACATTTTTTACTTAAAAGTGTCACAAAAGCTGGGGAGGAAGGGAAGGTCATTAAATGCTTTTAATCCTCAAAAACAAGTAATTTGTATTGTGTTTCAACTAAAAATTGAGAAATGATGCTGACAGTTGTGGCTCAGTTTCACTTCTACATTATCTCCAGTTCATTCCATTACACAAGCTAAAATGGACGCTAAACTGTGTTCTTAAGACTGCTAAAAAGAAAAGTGTTTTTCACTGTTACTCCCTTTCAACAATCTTCTAAACTTCACTGCTACAGTGGAGGCAACACTGATCTAAGCATAGGTCAGGGTGAGTCACTAAACTACAGACTTCATATCTCTTGACCCAGAAAAGCTTTGTTTTCTCTCACTATGAATCCAGTAAGTTACTGCTCTTACATCAAAATGGCTGTGAAATTTCAGATTTGCAAACTTCTTTGATCAAACCTCCCACACATCAAGGATCTGAGGCCGGGGTTCTTAGTCCTGGAGGCATAATGAAATCACTGGATACCCATGCCAAACCTATTAAATCAGACTCTCCAGTGACAGGATCTGCCACCTATGAAATTCTATAAAGAACAAAGCCAGGACCTTTTTAAATCCCTAGAAAGTTGGAACTTTTTTAAATGTCCAGAGAAAAGTTACACAGCAATTTTATTTTCTTTGAAGAATAGGACAAGAAGCTCAAAGTATTTATTTACTTATACATTATTTATTTATTGTCCGTGTAGGGCTTGAATTCAGGGTCTGGGCACTGTCTCTGAGCTTTCACTCAAGGATAGCACTCTATCACTTTGAGCCACAGCACCACTTCTGGTTTTCTGGTAGTTAATTGGAGATAAGAGTGTCACAGGGACTTTCCAGCCTGGGCTGGCTTGGAACTGCAATCCTCAGATCTCAGCCTCCTGAGTAGCTGGGATTACAGGCATGAGACACAGGCACATGGCCCACTCAAAGTCTTAATTTAAAGGGTCCAGGTATTAAGAAAAAAAAAAGAAGAAAATGTGAGCCAGGCATTGGTGTAATCCTAGCTACTCAGGAGGCTGAGATCTAAGGATCGTGGTTCAATGCCAGCCTGGGTAAGACAGTCCACAGAAAACCAGAAGTGGGGTTGTGACTCAATGTAGTAGTGCCTTAAGCAAAAAAGCTCAGGGACAGTGCACAGACACTGAGTTCATGCCCCATGATTGACACCCTCCCCCCACCAAGGGGAAGGGGAAGGGGATGCAGAAGGGGAAGGGAAGGGAAAAGAAAGGAAAGAAAATGTGTACACATCAGCCAGATGTGAGAATGCATGGCTGTAATACCAGTACTTGAGAGACTTGAGGCAGGAAGGAAGCTCTTGTGTTCAGGGGCAGCACTGGCTACCCAGAGAGATCCTATCTAAAACAAACCACAAGAAAAAGTAAACCTATTAGTGACACTTATCAATTGGTACCCTCCTAGACATTGTTATATATGCTTAAAATCTTACATTTCCTACCAGGTAGACAAACTCTGTAAGACTGGTAACTAACACATAATTCTTTCAAGTTCAAGTAATGTTATATCTATTTAAGTCACAAAACAAACCTTTAAGGAAAAACAGTAACAAAACTATTCCATCTCCCTTGTCAAACTCTACAACAGAGGAAAAATGAAAAACGCAAAGAAAAGTTCAATTTTTCCATAAAAATTACTTGAAATAGTGTATCCGTAACAATGCCAATTGCTGCCTCAGCTTTTACTTGATGTTAAAAAAAAAATGTTATCTTGGCCATCCTAAGACCACTCATCTGATATACAGATAAAGGATCCTACTGAAAACCTCATTAATAGAATCTCCAGACAACTGGCTAAGAAGCTAAATGTGCCCAATGCCACAAGGTAAGTCTTAGGATCAGACCTGAGTGAGAAAACAGTTACCAAGGCTTATCTAGAGTCAATTTGGGAGTGGTAGTCCATGCCTTAATCCCAGTACTCACAAAACTGTGGTAAAAGGATCATGAGTTCATTCAAGGCCAGTCTGGAATACTTAGTGAAACCCTGTCTCCAAAAAAATGTTAATTTGGGTTTTTTTTTAAATCAAAAATATTGTCTAACCAGGCGCTGGTGGCTCACACCTGTAACCCTAGCTACTCAGGAGGCTGAGATCTGAGGATCACTGTTCAAAGCCAGCCTGGGCAGAAAAGCCCGTGAGACTCTGATCTCCAATAAACCACTAGGAAACCGGAAGTGGCGCTGTGGCTCAAGAAGTAGAGCACTTGCCTTGAGCTGAAGAGCTGAGGGACAGCACTCAAGCCCAGAGTTCAAGCCCCACCACCAACAACAACAAAAAATTGTCACCCACATGCCTAGTTTACATAATGTCCTTGGTTTGATCCCTAGAACCACCACCCCTTAGAAAACAGTAGTGATGAAACTTCTCATATGCAATCCTGTTTAGCTGGGCACTAGTGGCTCACCCCAGTAATCCTAGCTACTCAGGAGGCTGAGATCTGACTATCTCTAAGTGATAGAGTGGCTACCCTTGAGCTAAAAAGCCAAAGGAGCCAGGTGCCGGTGGCTCACACCTATAATCCTAGCTACCCAGGAGGCTGAGATCTGAGGATCATCTGGGCAGGAAAGTCCATGAGACTCTTCTTTTTTTTTTTTTTTTTTGTCGGTCATGGGACCTGAACGCTGTCCCTCAGCTCTTTAGCTCAAGGCTGCTCTACCACTTGAACCATAGTGCCACTTTTGGCTTTGTCTTTGAGACTCATCTCCAAATAAACCACCAGAAAACCGGAAGTGGCTCTAGGGCTCAAATGGTAGAGCACTAACCTTTAGCTGAAGAGCTGAGGGACAGTGCCCAGGGCCGGAGTTCAAGGCCCACGACCTACAAAGGAAGGAAGGAAGGAAGGAAGGAAGGAAGGAAGGAAGATTGATTTGTTGTTATAAACTGCAGTGAGGCTTGGAGTTGTTACAAAATAAAGAACATAAGCCACAATTCCCTTCTAAAAGTGCACAATTTATTCACTCCTAGATATATTCTCAAAGTAATGGAAAACATTTATCTTTATAGCAAAATAGTACATGAATGTTCACAGCACCATCATGTAATAAGTAATAAAAAATGTAGTATATCCATTTAATTAAATATTATTTAGCTATAAGAAATGAAGTATAATGGTAAACGCTACAGCGGATAAACCTTAATACAACAGCTAGGTGAAAAAAGCCACAGGCAGAAGGTCACAGTTTATAAGATTCATTTCTGTGAATGTTCAGAACAGGCAAACCTGTAAAGTCAGAGAGCAGTTTTCTGCCTGCCTGGTGAGAGAGAAAGGGGCTGAGAAATGAAGTGGGAGTCATGGCTAGTGAACATAGGTTTGATTTTTGGCAATGCCGGGGTTTAAGCTCAGGGCCATGAGCCTACTAGGCAGGGCCTCCACCTACTGAACCATGCCTTGCTCCCTGCCCTTTTTACTTGAGTTATTTTTAAATAGGGTTTTGAATTTTTCCTGGGGAACGCCTTCTAACTACAACCCTCCTACTTACGCAGCCCTTCCCTCACAACTAGGATTACAGGTCCCAGCAACCACACCCTAGCTG